TCTCAGTGTAGAACCCTAAACGTCTAAAACTTACTAAACTCTAAACAGATAAATTTTACCCAGCACATTTTTATTTGCTCAAAACATCCGGAGGTAAATATTTGGTATTAGGGATTCAAACCACCTCTAATTTGCATAATTTTGAAATATGTTGTCAAGATCATCACCTTAAGCTTAAGTAATATTGTGAAGGTTTTCGTTGAGGGTCGTTGTTCCAAAAAACTAACCTAACCTCCTAACCCTAATCCTAAACTAACCTAACCCAACCTAATTGTTGTATGGATGGAAAAGTGCGTGGATGCAGTAAGTTCCGTCCCTCTGCGGAGGGGACCTACTGCATCCACGCATACACTTTTCCACACACACACACACAACATTCCTTTCGTTTCGTACAAAAACGTGTCGAATGAGCATAATTTTAATATTGAATATGAGGAGCTGCAAAGTTTTTCTAAAGAATTACCCAACTTCTTAATAAGCAACGACTCCCAAGTAAAACTTTCACAATATTACTCGAAATGATGATCTTGACAACATATTTCAAAATTATGGAAATTGGGGGTGGCTCCCTAATACGGGCCACTTCGACCAAACTCCGATTAACGTAATCGTTCATTTTCATCTCGTTTCAAGATACATAATAGACCCTCAGATCCCTGTTTGTTGGAAAACTATATTTTTTTACGAAATAAAAGTAAGTCTTGTTGAACGAGAAATAAATAGGATTTATAGGTTTATTTAGTGAATAACTTTATTTTACTATTTCAAAATGTTTCAGTATAAGAAAATAAGACATTTTAGTTCCAAATGAAAAGACAGAATCATGTTGTATTATATTATATTAATATTATATTTGATGGATTATGGAGATTGGAAATAAATCAGGCTCTGTACTACGTGGTTAATATATGAAATACTTTACTTGAAATAACGTGGTCCCAAACGCAAACGGTCTATATAGCGCCAGAGCTAGCGAGGAAGAAAACATAAGTCCTACCCGTAAACAAAGAAACAATAGCGATAGACGATCAAAGCGCCTAGACACTCGTTTACGGAAGTATGAACCATAAAAGATATAGGTAACATAAAAATATCTTATTTGTCAAAAGAACACCTTTCTCAATAATATAAGATTATATTATTGAGAATATATATAAGAATCATATTATGTATTAATATATATATAGAACAGTCACGTTTTTGGACCTTCAGTCTTTTGACCCTAGTCTTTAACTAAGTTTTAAATTTAAAAAAATAAAAAAAAGATAATCTTGTTATAATATAAAAAAAATTAAAAATGAATTTTTGTACAGTAAGACTATTAATTTCTTATATTTTGAGAGTAATAACGTTTGAAAAGTTGATGTGGGTCATTTTAATTTTATCCATGTTTAAGGTTCCAGGATTAATACAAAATTAAAACAAAACTACATTTTGGAAATTGATATACAGTTTAAAGAGAAATTTGTTAATGGAGGCAAATAGTTTCATCATATATGTATATTCGCGGGGTGTTCCCTTAATGCACTAACCTTGTCACTCGAAAGTATTTCGTTAGCGAGGGATACATATGTGAACGAGTGCGCGTAGTCGAAAGCAATTCCGAAGGAGAACGAGTTTTCTGCGAATGCATAACACCGTCTCTCTCGCTCGCCCGCTGTCAGCCAATCGAGATCTCAGATTTGGCCACAACCTCCGCTCAGCCTCCGTGTCCATTGGCTGGCCGCTTGGTGACGTTGCTGACCCGCTTTTGAAATTCGGTAAACAAGATCTCACGAAAGCCAGAAAACTGCCCGACGAATATCTACATGATACGAATGAGATTGAACGAGTTACTTCATACAGTTTGCCAAGAATGACTAAGAAAATGTTTCTGCGTGTCACGCAGCCTTCGATTATCGATATGTCTCCCAAGTGACGATGCTAGAAATAAACATCAGAAGTTTGGAAAGAACTGAGCGATCGCCGTCGAATCGTATTAAACGTTAATATAAATACAGATTTCCAAATGAAAAGTTTACGTGTCTGAAATGTGTCTAATGAGAGATGAGTTACTTAAGTTACTAAATTTCTTCTAGGATCATGATATTAGATAAATTAATATTTAGACGGGGAGCACAGACTTTTGCATAACGCATAATGCATAAGCATAAGAAAATTGATTGGTCCATGTACATGTGCATAAGGAAATAGACCAATCCATTTTCTTATGCTTATGCATTATGCGTTATCCAAAAGTCTGTGTTCCCCGCTTCACGATGAAATATGACAGGTAAAACTCCTTCCAGATTTGTTAGGCCAGTCATATTAGACTAATTTAAGGGGTTTAGTCCAATTAATCTCCAGGTTGCAATCACCATGAATCGTTTTGATTTGAGGTGCTATAACGATTAATGGTGGTTGCAACCTGGGAAGATTAATTGAAAGGTTCGATGTCTAATATGACTAGCCTATGTGTCCAATTTTATGCTGCGGAAGCGCGAGTGAAGTTTAGCAAAATAGATAACTTTATTTTATCAAATTGAGCATACTTCGGTCGCGTGGCTCGCGTGAAGTGAAGTTTGCCTCGTGCGAGGATTGAGCGGGCTATATACACACACAGGCTGCGGTCCACTTGACGCTACAAATGCTTAGGAGCGTTCTTCTTCTCCTTCTTTCTTCAGTGAAAGAAAAGAGAAGAGGAATGCTTCGAAGCATTTGTAGCGTCAAGTGGACCGCAGCCACAGAAATATGTATCAAGAAACGATATCGTTACAGTACTGTGGTATTGTGATACCGTCTCATGAAATATGTCTCATCGTGTGTAGGTACGTCTCCGAAGGTTTCATGCGATATCAATATTAAGTATTAACAAGTATCGATACATGAATGAAGTCTCCCGCTGTCGATGGGATACATAAGAGACCGAAACAATGACTACGTTTTCACAGCCCGATTTACGCTAAAGTTATAACATCGATATTATAACTAATATAACTACTGACGTTAAATACCATGTAAACGCTCTTTTACGACAAAGTTATTACATCGATGTAGTAAGTTCGTCGTAAAAGAGCGTTTACACGGCATTTAACGTCAGTAGTTATAACATCGATGTTATAACTTGATGTAAATCGAGCCATGTAAACGTAGTCTATTTCGAGTCTCTCTAATCAGAGTCTGGTCAACTTGCAGTTCTGGCAAAATTCTGCGAGAAAGAAGGATATACTAACTTTTTCTTTGTCCCTTTCCTATCTCTTTTTCTTTCTGTTTCTCTTGCCTTTTATTACGTTTATGCGAGCGTTACTTCTGTAGTAACTTACGATAATTCCTTCGCGTAAACGGGATTTTGTAGTAACTTACGATAATTTACTTCGCGTAAACGAGTGATATATCGTAAGTTACTACAGAAGTAACACTCGCGTAAACGTAGTATTTGCCAAGAAATGACGAACCAATAAAAAGTTGCTACCGTATAGCCAGACTCTGATTAGAGGGGTTCTACCGTCTATTGATATACATCTGCGCGTGCGCGTGTGCGTGTGCGCACGCGTGTGCGTGTGTGTGTGTGTGTGTAGCCCGCTTTACTGGTGAGACCATTCAGGATGAGGAAGAGATACGGGCGGAGGGGGAAGAGAAGAGAGAATTCGGTGATATGCTCGCGCGGAGCGAAGGGAAGCGAAGTTCGGCTCGTGCATGACGTTGATTTTACGATGGGGGAAGGACTGGAAGAAGTTTGACGACGAAATATCACGAACCGAACAGTAGGATTCGAGAGAGAGGGGGGGGGGAAAGGCGCGCGCATGCGCATGCGCACACCGCTTGGTGATGCTTCCCGGTGCGCGCGTAGCGTAACCTGCACGCTTCTCGCACGTCGCCGTATGCGCCATCGAGTCTGAATATCGTTGCGAACAATTGCCGCCGTAACAGTAGTTATACAGTTCCCTTTGAGAACGCGCGCGCGCGCAAAGATTACTGTGGTTAAAAGTTTCGAATTTCAGAAAGAGGCGGGCGTTTAAGTGAAGCTCTGTCACGGGTAAAAGAGAGGGAGACCGAGTTTTCTCTTTCATTTTGGAAAAACAAGTGGCCGGATTGAGTTGTCGGCGTTGCTCTTAACACCACGTTTGACGACCGTGGCTTTTTTCCCCAATTTCAACATTGACGATAGATATCGACTCTGGAAAACCAAGGAGATTAAAAGAGGCGAAGGAATACCGTATCCGTAAAGCAGCGAAGATCTATTTTGGAAGGAGCAAGCGGTTTAATTAAAACGGCGTCATTTTTGACACATTTGGCAACAGTGCCTTTCACTTTATTATAGACATTCGTTGTGTTAATTTGGAAAAGGGGAAATTAAGAAAGTGAAGAAGTATCATTAAGGGAGAAATATCTCTATTTTTTATAAAAGAAAAAACTCTGGCACCGCTTTTGATATATTTGGCAACAGTGTTTTTCGTCGACATAGTTTCCATTAATTTCGGGATCCTCGAATCTCGATCTTTGTGATTCTTCGGCGAAACATGAAGCTGGTAGTTGGGAGCGTGCTCAATAAAATCGGCGATCATCATGACACACATTTGATGTTACTTTCGCGACGACTATACTTTTTGGACACTTTATCTACATCTGTGTTACTCCGTGGCCTTCAGGCATGTCCAACTTCAAATATTAATCTTAATTTAGCATACCGCGCAACTTTATGGCGTTCGTCTGAGATTGTCTAAAATACGTACAAATCCTATTACATTATCGTTTTACATTTATAAGCAATTTTGATTTTTCAGTTTTGCATTTGCTGCAATTCCATGGCGTTTGTTTATATTGTGTGATATTTCCTCATAAGTGATATTTTTGTAAATTTTACGTTCGCGTTGAACTTCAATTTCCATGATTTGCATAAGTGTATTTTATGTGCAACAATTTTTTGAATTTATTTTTTTAATTTTAATTTTTAATTATTTTGAAATTATTTTAATTTTTAACGTCTGCTGCTTGTAGGATTTATATAAACATTTTTATGAATTATATTATTACATTTTGCGCGTTCTTAATTTTTATAAGCTTTATATTTATACTAAATATATATTAAAAAATCTTTAGTATGAAAATATGTATATGAGTATCTCGAGTCTTGGAAATAAAATTCTAATGCAATTTTTAAAGAATGCTATTTAGTAATATATGTATATATACAGGGTGTAACAAAAGGTTGTCCGCTACTTTAAAGGTAAATAGTACATATCAAAATAATGAAAAAAGTTTTTATTAACATGAACTGCAAATGCGTCTCCTACCGAGTTATGGGCATTACAATTTTTGATCTTAAATTCGGTTTATTAACCCACAGAATACGTTTTAAGCTGTCAAAATACGTATAAAAATTAAAGGTGTTTAAAATGGCATCCTTGCATGAACAATACCGAACATTGTTCGGTTCGGTACCAATGTGAACAGGATGGATGTGCAGAAATACATAATACGCCTGGTATCTTGGAACGTATTAAGGCGAACATGAGGAGACGAACCGTCCAAATAAGATTGTCTATTGGCTCCCTTTGAATCCTCCAACTTTTATCTCAAACATTTTTCCAATAAACCAACAGGGTAAAGTGCATATTTCGGATCAGATCCTAATTCGTATCAGCAAATTTGAAATGCCTCTCTAGCCGACTGTACCTATCATACGTGAATTTTTTTTCACTAATTGTCTATATTTATAAGAGATAGCTATAGACGATAGCGAAAAAAATTCACATATGATAAATACAGTCGGCTAGAGAGGCATTTTAAAGGTGATCCGAATTAGGATCTGATCCAAAATATGCACTTTACTCTACTTTCTGAGATATTTGGCGGAGATAATTGACACACGAAATAAAACTCATCCTGTATATATTATACACATGCGTCATGCATATTATACTTGTAAAATAACATATGCAATTATTTTTATATATCATATAAAAGATGTATATTATATATATATTATATATATTATATATATATATATATATATATATATATATATATTTTTTTTTATATATATATATTACGAGTTTCTACTGATATAAAATCATGTTATAATATATATACATGTATTAAATTACAGAAACGATAGTGACGTACATAGTGAGCAGGATGTTCAGTTTTCACAAACCAAAGGTGTATCGATCTAGTACAGGCTGCTGCATTTGCAAAGCCAAATCTAGCAGGTAAAAATATTATTAAACATATGTATGTGTGTGTGTGTATATATTTTTTTTATTGTGTAAATATATATATATTTGTACAATAAAAATAAATTATAATAATATACTCTATAGTTATTAATTGTTATTTTAAATTATTATAATGATTTATGTTGATAATAAAATTCTATATAATTAAATGTTATTATTTAATAAGAGTTAATATCATGATACATTGATACTATACAATATTACACATGTATTTTATTATTATAATAAATCCTTGTAAATTCTTTTACAGTTCGAGATTCACAGATAGTAAAAAGTATGAGGATGACTTTATGCTATGTTTTCAACTTGATGAGAGGCGTAGCGGAGAGATATGTAATGCATGTGTACTTCTAGTAAAAAGATTTAAGAAGCTGCCTCCGGGAAACGATCGCAACTGGAGACATGTCAGTATCTGATAATGGATATTCTTATTTTTATTATTTGAATTTTGATGTTGCAAATACAGTATAAGTACCACAATTCATTATCTAATAACTTTTAGATTAATTCTTGCTTTTGAGTCTTGTTCTTATCACAGTATAAACAAATAATTATCTACTCTAAATTTTTCCTCTCCCTTATATGTGGAAGGTGCAAGATTCCAAATCTTTTGCTTGACAAATGATTGCTGCAATATGAAGATATCCATGATTTAATATTTTAAACTATTATATTACATTAACATTAAATTTAGATTGCAAATTTTTCTTAAAAAGAATTATCTTTGCAGGTTGTGGATGCCCGTGCTGGTCCTGGAATTAAGTCGCTAACCAAATTTAAGGCAAAAAATAAAAGGAAACTTAAAGATAAACCTGACAAATTTGCTAAGAAGAAACATGTCTATGTAAAAACAGAAGCAGATCGGGAACAAAGCCCATCGATAAGCGATGATTTGAACGGTTGGTTAAATAGAAATTTTGCTTCTTAATCTAATATATCAGTGGTCGGAATAATATTACTTTTGAGGCAATTTTCGAGAACTACGCC